AAAGGGCACCACATAAACAAAAATGCTGAAAATCTCAATAGGCACTGGAGAGAGCCTGATGATCTGTTGCATGCTATGCCTACATCAGGCCCATAGCCAGGATTTTGTTTCGGGGGGGGGGGCTGAGTTTGGTTTGGGGGGGGGGCTGAGTCTGAGTGAAAGAGGGTCTACCCTAGCAAACCTTTTGTATCGTTACCCCAATACCCCCATGCATATGGGATATATTGAGCATGGTGATCAGATCATGATATGAATAAACATAACAGTTTAAATAATGCACCAGTAAGGCCTTCTTCTAATCAAGGTGAAAGAAGAAAGTGGGGGGGGGGCTGAACCCCTCAAGCCCCCCCCCAGCTACATGCCTGGCCTACATATTAGCATAGTGTTTGGCACATACCAAGGTTTCCGTTTTAATGTTCTGGGGAATAGGTTTGAGAAATGATATGTTGGGTCTATGAATATAGAACCTGTGGATATGGAGAGCCCATTGTATATGACTGCACTGATAGTATGTTGTTGTTGTCTGCTTTCTAGTCATTCCTGATTCATGGTGGTCCTATCATGGAACTTATGGGGCGTCATGCACCCGTCACATTATATTCTGTTGCATTAGAAAGCAAATTCAAGCATTTCTCAGATCCTATCACATGTTCAATTTTTCTGGCTGTTTGTGTGTGTGTGTATGTGTGTGTCAGGAGCGACTTGAGAAACTGCAAGTTACTTCTGATGTGAGAGAATTGGCCGTCTGCAAGGATGTTGCTCAGGGAATGCCTGGATGTTTTACCATCCTGCGGGAGGTTTTTCTCATGTCCCTACATGAGAAGCTGGAGCTGACAGATGGGAGCTCATCCCTCTTCCTGGATGCGAACTGCCGATCTTTCGGTCAGCAGTCCTACATGCAGAAGGTTTTAACCCATTGTGCCACCAAGGGCTCTGGCTATCTGGTAATACAATATGACTTAATCCCAAAATCCCAATTGTAAATCCTTTATCATGGCAATCCCATGAGTGGTTAGTGAAATGCCTTTCATATTCTGAAATCTGTGCCAAGTTTCAGCCTTTGTTTGGCTGTTAGAGAGGATCTACATGAACGACTGAATGGCTTCTGATATAACATTTGAAAACTTCTTTGTGTAAAGAGTTTCTACATATGAATTAAATACATCCGCTCAAACAATGATCTGAAGGTGAGTGAAGTTATGGCTGACCAGGAATGGATTTGGCACATAAGTAGATAGAAAATTATTAAACCATCCAAAGGAAGAGTAGGTTATACGTATAATAAGTAAATAAAACAGAATAGCTGCAGCTGCTTTAACAGTGGCTGTAATTCCCAAACTAGTATATTGGCAGAACTACATTTATTCACTACGGGGCTGCTAGCAAAGTACTGTGGTGACAAGGCCACTAGCTTTTATTTCTCAGAAGATATTTCATATTTTTCATAATATATTTTATTCAGATATAAACATGGAAAGAAAGTACAGAATGTTTTGCTTGGATTTTCCTTCAACCATCTGGCAAATGCAATGTAGCTCCAGAGTGCCACCATCTGCTGAAACACCAGTATTAGACTCTTAGAAACTGACACTCGGAGAATAATCTTGTGTGTATATATGTACAAGCAGTCCCCGAGTTTCAGACAAGATAGGATCTGTAGGTCTGTTCTTAAGTTGAATATGTATGTAAGTCGGAACAGTTACATTTTTAAGTGTAACTCCAGCTGTGTGTGTGTGTTTGTACAGTGTAAGAGCACCTCATATGGGGTGTAGAATTCTACACTGTAGAATTAATGCAGTTTGACACCACTTTAACTGCCTTGATCCAATGCTATGGGATCCTGGGAGATATAGTTTGCTGAGATACCAGGACTCTGGCGGAGAAGGCTAAAGACACTGTAAAACTACTACTTCCACTACTCCATAGCATTGAGCCATGGCAGTTGAAGTTGTGTCAAGCTACATTAATTCTACAGATTGCACCCCATTTCTTCCCCATCCCCTGTTTGCTGAAGGTGTTTTACCAGCATCAGTCTTAAAACAAAGGCTCTTTCATGACGGTTTTTAAAGGTGTGTGGGTGGATTTTCCTCCCATCTCTTCTAATGTGAAGTATAGAAGTATCCAGGACAACAGTGCGGCTGTGAGAGGGCAGTGTGCGCACCAAAAAGGGAAACAAACTTAAACAAGAAATTCCAGCATTTGACGCGTTACATTACATGCAAGTCAACACACCACAATACTTTTGAATGCAACTGGATTTGGGTTGGAAGTGGGCAAGGACAGGAGGAATTTAAATATTTTACCTTTACAGCTGAAGCTTTCTGAGACAGTCAAGTCCCATTTCCAAATAAAGCTGGATCTACACTGCCATATAATCCAGATTATCTGTTTTGAACTGGATTATATGAGTCTACACAACCATATGTTGTTGTTGTTCATTCGTTCAGTCGTCTCCGACTCTTCGTGACCTCATGGACCAGCACACGCCAGAGCTCCCTGTCGGCCGTTACCACCCCCAGCTCCCTCAAGGTCAGTCCAGTCACTTCAAGGATGCCATCCATCCATCTTGCCCTTGGTCGACCCCTCTTCCCTTTCCCTTTCATTTTCCTCAGCATCATTGTCTTCTCCAAGTTTTCCTGTCTTCTCATTATGTGGCCAAAGTACTTCACCTTTGCCTCTAATATCCTTCCCTCCAGTGAACAGCTGAGCATTATTTCCTGGAGTATGGGCAGGTTTGATCTTCTTGAAGTCCAAGGCACTCTCAGAATTTTCCTCCAGCAGCACAGTTCAAAAGCGTCTATCTTCCTTCGCTCAGCCTTCCCAACCAGCATCACATCCGTAGGTTAATACAGGGAATACCATGGCTTTGACTAGGCGGATCTTTGTTGCCAGTCTGATGTCTCTACTCTTTACTATTTTATCGAGACTGGACATTGCTCTCCTCCCAAGAAGTAAGTGTCTTCTGATTTCCTGGCCACAGTCTGCGTCTGCAGTAATCTTTGCACCTAGAAATACAAAGTCTGTCACGGCCTCCACATTTTCTCCCTCTATTTCCCAGTTGTCAATCATTCTTGTTGCCATAATCTTGGTTTTTTGATGTTTAGCTGCAACCCAGCTTTTGCGCTTTCTTCTTTCACCTTGATTAGAAGGACACAACCATATAATCCAGTTCAAATCAGATAATCTGGATTTTAAATGGCGTTGTAGATGAGGCCTACGATATTCTTCTATCTTGTAAGGCTGTTGGAAATAATCTCTCCCAAATACAGTTTGGTCCAGATCCATCATTGTTTGAGTCTCTGGATGTAGGTGAACTACAACTCCCAAACCCAATGTCAAGGCCCACCAAACCCTTCCAGTATTTTCTATTGGTCATGGGAATTCCTTGTGCTAAGATTGGTTCAATTCCATCGTCGGTGGAGTTCAAAATGCTCTTTGATTGTAGGTGAACTATAAATCCCAGCAACTACAACTCCCAAATGACAAAATCAATCCCTCCCACAACACCACCAGTATTCAAATTTGGGCATAGTGGGTGTTTGTGACAAATGTGGTCCAGTGAATGAAAATACATCCTGCATATCAGATAGTTACATTATGATTCATAACAGTAGCAAAATTAGTTATGAAGTACCAAACAAAATAATTTTATGGTTGGGGGTCACTACAACATGAAGGGGTTGCTGCATTAGGAAGGTTGAGAAATATTGGTCTATTTCAGTGTTTCTCAACCTGGGGGTCGGGACCCCTGGGGGGGTCGCGAGGGGGTGCCAGAGGGGTCACCTAAGACCATCAGAAAACAGTATTTTCTGTTGCTCATGGGGGTTCTGTGTGGAAATTTTGGCCCAATTCTATCATTGGTGAGGTTCATAATGCAACTTGATTGTAAGTGAACTATAAATCCTAGCAACTACAACACCCAAATGTCAAGTCTCATTTCTCCAAACTCCACCAGTGTTCACATTTGGGCATATTGAGGATCTGTGTCAAGTTTGAGTCCACAGTGCTGTCTAGTAGGTGAACTACAACTCCCAAACTCAAGGTCAGTGCCCACCAAACTCTTCCCGTATTTTCTATTGGTCATGTGAGTCCTGTGTGCCAGGTGTGGTTCAGTTCCATCATTGGTGGAGTTCAGAATGCTTTTGATTGTAGGTGAACTATAAATCCCTGCAGCTACAACTCCCAAATGTCAAGTCTCATTTCCCCAAACTGCAACAGTGTTCACATCTGTGACAAGTTTGGTCCAGATCCATCATTGTTTGAGTCCACAGTGCTCTGTAGATGGAGGTGAACTACAACTCCCAAACCCAAGGCCAAGGCCCACCAAACCCTTCCAGTATTTTCTATTGGTCATGGGAATTCCTTGTGCTAAGATTGGTTCAATTCCATCGTCGGTGGAGTTCAGATTGTAGGTGAACTATAAATCCCAGCAACTACAACTCCCAAATGACAAAATCAATCCCCCAACCCCACCAGTATTCAAATTTGTGCCCAATTTGGTCCAGTGAATTATGCTTGCAGTAGATTCCTGTTCTTGTTGTTGTTCATTCGTTCAGTCGTCTCCGACTCTTCGTGACCTCATGGACCAGCCCACGCCAGAGCTCCCTGTCGGCCGTCACCACCCCCAGCTCCTTCAAGGTCAGTCCAGTCACTTCAAGGATGCCATCCATCTTGCCCTTGGTCGCCCCTCTTCCTTTTGCCTTCCACTTTCCCCAGCCTGCATATCAGATATTTACATTATGATTCATAACAGTAGCAAAATTACAGTTATGAAGTAGCAAACAAAATAATTTCATGGTTGTATTAAGGGGCTGTTGCATTAGGAAGGTTGAGAAATATTGGTCTATTTGAACACTTCTGGACCTTTTTTCCCCTGATGTCCCTTTCAGGGTTGCTCAACTTAGACTAAACTTGGCTACTTTGCTTTTCCTCCCCAGCCCTTCAGGCTCCCACGTGAGGGCTGGGTGAGGGCGGGTCATGTGACGCACCCGCTCACGTGATTCCGCCCGCCCGTCAAGATGGCGGCCATGGAGGAGGAAGAAGAGGCGCTGCTGGAGGGAGAGTCGCCCGCCGAGGCTTCTCAGGGCCCCGAAGGGAAGCCCATGCCGGCGGTGTGCGACCCCAGCCGCCTGGCCCACCGCCTCCTGGTCCTTTCCCTGATGTGCTTCTTGGGCTTCGGTGAGCGAGGGGACTTTCTCTTTCGTGGAAGGGGCTTCTACACCAGGCATGGGCCAACTTGGGCCTTCCCTCCAAGTGTTTTGGACTTCAACTCCCACCATTCCTAATAGCCTCAGACCCTTAAGCGGCTGAGGGGGAAAAGGAACGGGCCTGAGGTTAGGAATGGTGGGAGTTGAAGTCCAAAACACCTGGAGGGAGGGCCCAAGTTGGCCCATGCCTGCTCTACATTGTGAAATGGATGCATAGCTCGTTCACTGTCATGCCTCAATGCTGTGGAACCAAGCATAAAAAGTGGAAGCAAAGGAATTGAGGAATAGGCAGGCATTGAAGTGAAACTGGTTGAGTTGCAATTTCAAACTTCCTTCCCTTTTTTATGGCAAATACTAATCTCTGCTGAGTCTACTGAGTCATGTCATCGGGATGGATGTAGCTGCAAGTGCCTTAAACTGAACCAGACTTTTGTTTTAATGGCAATTTAATGGCAGAGACATCTCCAGCTCATCCCCTGTTTGGGTATCAGCCAGCACGTCAACGACTTAAATCAAGACATAGTTTTCTTAGATCTACAGAGACACTCGCTGGAACACCCCAGCAAGCGAGAGTCCAAAAGTGGCAGGCCCAAACCCAGCACCTCAATCCATGGGTGATACCAGATGAGAGACTCCCCCCTGGGCACACAGAAGACTGGGCAACTTGGAAGGCGCTGAACAGACTGCGCTCTGGCACCACGAGATGCAGAGCCAATCTTAAGAAATGGGGCTACAGGTGGAATCCTCGACATGCGAGGGTGGAGAAGAGCAAACCACTGACCACCTGCTGCAATGCACCCTGAGCCCTGCCACATGCACAATGGAGGACCTTCTTGCGGCAACACCAGAGGCACTCCAAGTGGCCAGATACTGGTCAAAGGACATTTAACCAAATACCAAATTTGCAAAATCTGTGTGTGTTTTTTTCCTTTTTCTTTTTAATCTGTGTGTTTGTTTTGCTCTGTTAGAATTGTAATACAATGGTTGCTGATGACATGATAAAAAAAAAACCCAGACTTTTGAACTGTTTAATTCATCTGTTTTAGTGCTTTTATTCATTTATTTACGACATTTATATGCCTCTCTTCTCACCCCGAAGGGGACTCAGAGTGGCTTACAAGTAGAAAGTAAATACAATATATTATTATCATAGCACAAAATTAATATTATATTTTACATTGTACTATAGCATTATACTGTAATATTATTAGTAATATTACATTTAATATAAATATATATATTATAATATAATAATAATAAAACTTTATTTGTACCCCGCTACCATCTCCCCAAGGGACTCGATGCGGCTTACATGAGGCCAAGCCCACAATACAACAATAAAAACAATAGCAACATTAATACAAACACCTCCTGTCATCTGCAATCAGCATGGACTATGGTAGGAAATATTGGGAGTTGGTAGGAATTGTTGGGAGTTGTACCCCAACACATAGAGATGGCCCCAAGCTGCAGAAGGCTAATTTATACATTCTTAAACACATTCTGCATCTGGATATTATTTCTGGGATAATGTATACACACTATATTTCAGATTGCTATGGTAAGACCTGACATCTTAATACTGATATTCCTAAATGCACCACCAGAGCCCCCAGTGGCAGAGTGGGTTGAACTGCTGAACTTGCTGACCGAAAGGTCACCAGTTCGAATCCGGGAAGCAGCATGAGATCCCACTGTTAGCCGCAGCTTGTGCCAATCTAGCAGTTCGAAAACATACAGATGTGAGTAGATCAAGAGGTACAGCTCCTAACAGTTTGAAACCATGCAAATGTGAGTAGATCAATAGGTACTCCTTCTGCAGGAAGGTAACGGTGCTCCGTGTAGACATGCTGGCCACATGACCTTGGAGGTGTCTATGGACGCTGGCTCTTTTGCTTAGATGAACACCAACTCCCAGAGTTGGACACGACTGGACTTAATGTCAGGGGAAAACCTTTACCGTTACTTAAATCTGCCTTGTGGCTGGAATGGTAAACTCGGTTTGTAGAGTCTGTTTTTAACTATAATCTATTGCTGTGGTTAGTGTTTTTTTATTTTAATTTGATGTGTTTTATATTATTTTCTATTAGTTGTAATTTTTGTTGTTCTGTGTTTTATTGATTCTTTGTGTATATTTTATGTATCTTACCTTGCACTGGGTTGCCTTATAAGCCAAACCAAGTCCTTTCAGGGAGATGGGGGTGGAATACAAATAAAGTTGTTATAATTATTATATTTCTTCCCCCTCTCCTCATGGCTTGAGGCAGATTACAAAACAAAATACAGAAACACAACAAAAAATGCAAATACACATACCAAAATTTACCTCCATAAAAGTTATATGCCAAAATGTATCTATCTCTATAAAATACATATTAAAACAGACAAAACAGAGATTTAACAGTCCCTTCAAGGAGATAGGATGGTATATAAATTAAGTTTTATTATTATATAATCAAAGGACATGCATTAAAATGCGTGTTTATGTTTAAAGATGGACTGGATAGGCCTGCTGGAAGAGACAAATCTTCCCTTGTGTATTAAATTCCGACAGCTCATTCAGCTATCGGAGCTCTACCAGCAGGTAGTTCCACAGCTTTGGAATATCTGCTTTGAACTGGGTTATCTGAGACCACATTGCCATATGACCCAGTTCAAAGCAAATAATGCAGGATTTTATCCAGCTGTGTTGAAGGGGCCTTAGAGAAAAATATTCTCTCATAGAGTATGCATAATGCTCAGGACCCCTTACGGCTTGACAAATTTTTACATGACACCAGGTATATAGGTATATCAAATAAGTATAAAACCAAACATTTACTGATAACAGACCAGCATTTCCAAAGCTTCCTAAACTGGCTGATTATCCTTTTTATGAAATACAGCTAAAGCATCTTCTGCAGAGTCCACTGTAAACATTACATGTTGTTGCTAACAGATTTGTATATTTTGGGTTGGGACCCACAATTTAAGAAGCAGTGTTCTAGGCTATATTTGAGAGGAAAACCTATGGAATTCATGGGATTGCCATAAATCAGCAGAGGACTTTCAAACATGTATACACATGACCCTTTTATGGCTTCTTCTGTTCATACAAAGCGATAAGGAGTATCTTTCAATAATGGAGATGGAAGGGCATGTAAACATTACATATTTGTCTCTAAGCTAGAAAAGTAAGCTTTTGGGTCCCTGGCCTTGCCAAATAACGGAACTCTGAGACTTCTAATCCAAAAATATTGTTTCCAAGCTCAAGATTATCCTCTCCCTTTATTCTCTGGTGCTCCAGCAAAAATTGAGGATGCCTTTCTTCCTCTCTTCTTTCTCTTTATGTTGTGATTTAATTGTGGGACCCAAAGTATCAATACTACTATTAAAAGCATTTTCAATAAATCTTTTTTTCTTAAATTTTTGTTCTTTAGGCAGCTATTTTTGCTATGACAACCCAGCAGCTCTTCAGACTCAAGTTCAAAGGGTAAGTGAAAACCACGAATTTCACCCTTCATCCACTAAGATGATAATCTTTTAATTGTGCACTAGATTTTTCAGCAACATCAAGGAGAGACTTACATTGTCTTCCTCTTATTTTTTAAAATAGGACCTGCAATTTAAAGTACTTGGCCTGCTAATTCAATCTCTAATTCCAGTACTTTTAATTATAATGTAATTCAAAAACTATTTAGAGAGGTTTGATAATCTGTACACGTCTGAAAGGAAAAAATGGAACTGTCCAAAATGTGTGTACTTCACATGGAGTTTATCACAGATACAATCTAGACCTCGCTTTTATATAGTTTTTTTCTAGCAAGGGTCAGGTTGTTTCAATAGGAAAACCTGCATTAGATAGATTTTTCTTAATACATATTTTATAACTAAAGTGGAGCTGAAATGTTGGTTTGAGTGTTTGCACTTCCTTTTAGGACATGAAAGTGAACACTGCTCAGTTCATGGCACTGTATGCGTGGTATTCCTGGCCTAACGTGATTCTCTGTTTCTTTGGAGGCTTTCTCATTGACAGAGTATTTGGAATAAGGTAAGGTAACTTATGCATGCATTGGAAGATATTAATGGCTGAATGACCTTTAGATAATAATAATACTAATATTATTATTATTATTATTATTTATGTTCAGCTGAACTGCAATAAGGGGGTACTTTTGTGTTGTCGTTTCTTTATTACAGTGGCTTTAATGGTTTCAAACTTCTTTGCAGGTGGGGCACAATAATATTCAGCTGCTTTGTCTGTATTGGACAGGTAAGTGGAATAAATAATGTACAGTTAAATATAAATCAATAGATATTCAGTAGATCATCCTAATGATCTGCAGACCATTAGATTATTATAAATTTAAAAAATACTAAGTGAAAATATTTGTTAAGCTGACATGTTATTCATATTCCACTCTTTAAGGTGATTTTTGCTATGGGAGCAATAAGTAATACTTTTTGGCTGATGGAAGCTGGCAGGTTTGTGTTTGGGTAAGTTCCTATTTTAGCTTTGTATCATCCCTTGTTACCTTCTCTCAGTATTAAAAAGACTATAGTTAACTTTATATTTTAAAAATATCTTGTGAATCAGTTCAGTTTTATTGTCTTGGTTCGGAAGCATTAAATAATTTCCCTTTTGATCTTCTGGATACTCTAAACTAAACTTGCATATTAACATAAAAGTGTAACTTCAAATAACAAGAAATGGTTGTGTCGTGCATGTTGTTTTAAACATTTATTTTAACCCCCTTCTTTCATTTAGGATTGGTGGGGAATCCTTAGCAGTAGCTCAAAATACCTATGCTGTGAGTTGGTTTAAAGGAAAAGAATTAAACCTTGTGTTTGGACTTCAGCTCAGCATGGCTAGAATCGTAAGTTTGAAAACTCATTTTTGTTTTCTCTTGTAAGGACCATAAATGCACCCTAACATTTATTTCTATCTATACATATAGTTAGGGACATAATTATTCAAAAGGAATTTTAGAATACCTAACAGAATTCTCGAATAACAATTCTAAGAATTCATTCCTTACAATTGATTGTCCCAATGCTTCTGGTTAGCCAGTCTTCTCAGTGGACCAATTTAAAATGCGTGATAGATGTCAAGGGACCTCAAATTGTACCTGAAATGCTCCCCCTTGCAGAATAGGACTTGACTCTTGTAAGATTTACTTTGTGTGGAAATAAATATATTTGAATCTGATTGCAGGTAAGCACCATCCTATTATCACATACTAGCAGACCCCATTAAGAATATAGTCAGAATGACAGTGTAAACCAAAAATCTTTCTAGTTCAGTCCTTTGATCAGACAGGTTCTATAGAAGACACTTCCTCAGGCAGTCTTCTTCATTGGGATACCTGTCAGGTATTTGAGAGTACAAGTCTCTGAGTTGTCAGGAATGGCAAGAGTTGCTGTCCAGATAAGTAAGTTGCTGCCTTTGGCATGTTGATGATAGCTACTCTTTGCTGAGTGTCTGTAGCATCTAGTTTATAGTCTCATAGAGACTACATGGGCTATCCATCCCCCTCCCATGCAGGAATACGCAATGAAAGCACTCCTGACAAGGCTATTCAGTGCTAATCAAAGTGGCCAATTGCAACATTCACACTTGCCTCCAACAGACAAGAGTTCTTTCTCCCACCCTAGACATTCCACAGATATATAAACCCCATCTGCCTAGTTTCCAACAGACCTCACAACCATCTGTGCCTGCCATAGATGTGGGCAAAACGTCAGGAAAGAATGTTTCTGGAACATGGCCATACATCCTGGAAAACTCACAGCAACCCAGTGATTCGGGCCATGAAAGCCTTCGACAACACTACTGACAGATTTACTATATATGAATTCTGCATTCTTGATTGCAGACAGTTGTTCAAGCTAGATGTATTTGAAGTGTTGTGTGCAACACACACAGAGATTATTCAAATTGATATTCTTTTTTCTGTTCTTTTGTACTGTGTTGAAAATATATTATCACAATTCATTTATCTTCCTAGGGGAGCACTGTGAACATGAATATTATGGGATGGGTATACTCGAAAGTTCAAGATCTTCTGGGTTCTACAGGTCACACTACTCTTGGGGTAGTGCTTTTTATTGGTTAGTAAATTCTTCTATTATTTACTCTTAGTGTTTTGGGATTTGCTCCAATATGGATGAATAGGAAGTTAGTGGTTAGTTTAGTTTATAAACTCCAGGTTCTTCGTAAAATGTGTGAAAGCAAAGCTTATAAATTGTTCTAATGGAATAAGAGTAAATAGTATTTACTTTTACTTAGATGCGTAAGAGATTATCATGTCCTGCTTTCCTGCACCACACACAAGTTAGATATCTGATCCAATTAGAACAAAGCAACTATAATCTTGAAGTGTAATCCTTCCATAGACAGCTCTGATTCCCATTGTATCCATTTTTAGATCTGTTGGTACACTAATAAATATTACAAACATAAGCTGAAAGAAGTTTCTTAAACTATTCAATATTTAACTGAGAAATTTTCAGATTCTGAACTGTATGCATTTATAAACTGAGAAGTGTATTCTTTTAGACCATTGTATGCATTCTTTGGGCCATGGGTAGGAATTTGGCCCTCCAGAAAATTTGGACTATATATCACATCCATTATCAGGGGTACACTGGCTGTGAGCTTTGGGACTCAAAGTCCCGAATATCTCACCACCTCTGTCTTAGGTCATCTCTTTCCAGCCAATTTACTCGTGTTTTGGTCTTAACTCCTACTACTAGTGAACAGCATTGCTAGTGGCAGGAATGGGGAGAATTGTAGGCCAAAATATCTGGTGGGATCAACTTGTGGAAAACTGCCTTTGATTATTTTTAGTTCCATATCTAATAACACAGTTGTTGTTATTTATTCAGTTCTTAGTAAGTTGCCATTTCGGTATAATTTTTGATATAAAATGCATTTACTCTCAATTTCAGGTGGTGTGACATGTATTTTTTCATTAATCTGTGCTCTCATTCTTGCTTATCTGGACAAAAGAGCTGAGAAAATTCTATGTAAAGAGCAAGGAAAGACTGGTAAGTGTGTGTTGTTGTTCAGTAATGAAATGTTAGTTTTTTTAAAAATGTTTGTTAGAGAGTGAATAGAAACAAATATTGAACATGTTCCTTCTTTTCTTTGGCCCCTTCCACACAGCTGAATAAAATCCCTCATCATCTTCTTTGAACTGGAATTTATGGCAGCATGGACTCAAATAACCCAGGGCCCTTCCACACAGCCCTGTATTCCAGAATATCAAGGCAGAAAATCTCACAATCCAGTTCAAAGCAGATAATGTGGGATTTTCTGCCTTGATATTCTGGGATATAATGCTATGTGGAAGGACCCCCAGTTAAAAGCAGATATTGTGGGTTTTTCTGCCTTGATATTCTGGGTTAAATGGCTGTGTGGAAGGCCCCATTGAATATACATCAGTAAATTCCTTATTTTGAAATGACCCACTTTTGTCTCTTTCATGATATTGTTTGCTATTCACATGGGGAATTTCAAGCCCTGGTTTGCTTCTATAATGCATAGTCAGATTAAGGCCCCTTCCAGACAGCCATATAACCCAGAATATCAAAGCAAATTATTCCACACTATCTGCTTTGAACTGGGTTATCTGAGTCCACACTGCCATATATTCCAGTTAAAAGCAGGTAAGTGGGATTTTATTTAGCTATGTGGATGGGGCTTGATGCATTGCAAAGAGAGAGCATTTAATACATGAAATAGCAGTAATATAAAACAGGCTAAAAGCAACTCTGAAAAGCAGAATTTGACTTTTTCTCACTGAAGAAACTTTTACATGAAATCCAGTGTTACAGATCACTTGTGAATCTGTCTTTTACAAATGTAGCTTATTAATTCTGATACTGATGTTTCTCTTTCTTCAAGGTGAAGTGATTAAATTAACTGATGTGAAAGACTTCTCATTGTCCTTATGGCTCATATTTATTGTCTGTGTTTGTTATTATGTGGCCGTCTTCCCGTTCATTGGACTTGGAAAGTAAGTGCATGTTTAGTAAGACCTTAGACTTGCCATTTTGGAGTAAGTTTGTCTAGAGTTTTTCTTTGGTGTGTTGTGAATTGGTGATTTTAAGTGATAAATACTTTTAAGCACAGTGTTCAGTAGCTTGATTTGGGTCCATGTTGGTCCATTCCATCAAACCAGTGTTACTTGTTCAGTTAATTGATAAGCTGCTCCATACCTGATTTTAGAGTGATGTACAATAGATGAACATTTTTATAAAAAATTATAATAAAAGCAGAATGCATTAATTAAAGAGTCAATTGGCATTTATTAGCCTTGCTGAAAAGAAAAATATTGAGTAGGTGAAAAAATGAAGTGTAGTTATGTTTCACTTTTGTCAGGAGGGCATTCAACACATATAAATCCTTTAATCCTGGTTGACTCTGAAGAAGATAGCAGACCCATGTGAAACCATCAAAGACACCTCCTCAAAAGATCTAATACAATAGTCTGAAGATTGCTGCAGTTCTAGATCTTACCCATACATATTCTAAACTCAAAAATAAGCACTGTAGGTCAGACTAGAGATAGAGGAGTTCTGTGGCTGTACATTTATCCATCTGAAAACTATGGCAGTGATCAAAAGAATTTACTAAAATGTTGCCTGGTGTGTATTCTCACACTTGTTTATGTATCCCTCCCCTGAAAGCCTTAGGTTGGCTGCTCCAATAACACAACCTGTTCATTTTTTTGCATCATAGGGTTAGCCAACAGTAAGTTGTGAATGGCTTCTCTAACTGTGACTTTAAGATGTCCTTTGTATAGATGCAGTCATAAACATTGTATGTGCGTGTTCCCTTCTGAGACACATAGAACTTTCGCCTGTGTGTTGTGTTTTTCAAGTAAATGCAAAATATATGTCAGATGTAGCTCTGTCACTGACATACATTTTACAAATCTGAGCACTTGACTTTAGCCCCTTCCTTATCCACCTGATCTCTCCTTTGATGGAAGACTTACTCTTACTCAGACTGCACAATTCCGTTGCAGAAAAAAATTATACACATCGAATGGTATTATTAAAAACCAATATTTTCCCCAATCCCCATTAATTCTAATACACATAGACTGATCTTATAAAGATTATTGCTATCTTGCCAGAATTCCTAAACACTCTAGTCTTCTCATCCTTTTACAAAACCAAGTAGTCCAATCAGAATTACTCTCAGGCTTGGAGCTCTCTTTGAAGCATAAATCTGCAAGCCAACCCATGCCTACACTACTTTCTTGCTCCTTAAAAAGGAGGAAGGGCAGGGAAGGGGAAAAAAGGAATTTTACAGCACCTTTAAGACTAATTGGTTTTTATTTTAGCCTGAGCTTTTGTGGATATAAATCCATTGTTTTAGATGAAGTACTGAATGATGTTAAGGCCTCAAGTGTAAAGCATATGCATACAGATGTAGGAATGAGATAGAATGTAATAGGATCGTAAATTTTCAAAGGGTGATACAATGTCTTGGACTGGCCCTGTTACTTCTTATTCATTAGTCAATTAGCTATTTTCTCCAAGATAATTTTGTCACATGGTTCTTACCTTCTTGAGGGCTGCTGATAAATGCGTGCTATCAAAATTGTAGGCTGGTTGTTTTAAGTCATTAATTATTTTTAAAGCTGGCATGATTGTAAATTCTCCATGGTTTCTCTGAACAGAGTTTTCTTCATTGAGAAGTTCAAGTTTTCCTCTCAAGAAGCAAGTGCAATCAACAGGTAAATAGGATACAGCTTTACAAACGAGGTTATTAGTTGTTTCTGCCTTTCCACAGTTTGCAATTGAAGGTATTTTACAGTATTTAAGACATAGTTAAAAATTACTAGCATACAAATGTTAGCAAGCAATCAAACCATCATAAAATGAAAAGCAGTTAAAATAAGGACAGAAAACAATAATTTAAACTCCTATACATTATACAAGGCCTGTTTTTTCCTTGGAATTCTAGCATCCTTACAAGTACCTCTTGTTTCTTTTATAGTATAGTGTATGTCATATCAGCACCCATGTCCCCTGTCTTCGGATTCCTAGTTGACAGGGTTGGAAAGAATATTACCTGGGTTATATGTGCCGTGGTGACTACATTGGTGTCTCACATCATGTTGGCCTTTACTTTCTGGAACCCTTGGGTGGCCATGGTAGGTGTTTCTTCTGATTTTGTTTTATTCAAATTCTGGGGTGTGGGTGCATAATTGTCAACTTTTACAGGAACTCTGTTTCATGTATTACACTCCAAAAGATTTTATGTATATGAAAATGGTACCCTAATAATAGATACATCCTATTTCCTTCCTTCCATGCACATATTAGAAATCGAAACTCTAAAACAGCTTTTTTCATAATAGCAATTTAGACTGCTTCAGGATGTGTCCATGGTGTTAGTGGTGTTGTTTATCAACTAGGCTCATTATGTAGTTATCACTTTGACTGTCAGCTACTTTTAGTTCCCACATGTTATGTCAGCAATAGAAGCAGCCTATTATCACAGGAAATCTATGCAGAAATGCAACGTATCGTTTGTTATATCCATATTATTGGCTCCCTTTAGTGTTCTTAAATGTTGATGCAGTGTTTTTAAATCTATCTTCCACAGTGTTTGCTGGGAGTAGCTTATTCCTTGCTTGCCTGTGCCTTATGGCCTATGGTTGCTTTTGTTGTCCCCGAACATCAACTGGGAACAGCTTATGGCTTGTAAGTAATAGGTATTTATATTTTCAATTTTGGAAATGAGCCTTTGTCTTTCAACCTAAACCTATGGCAAAATATTCAGGTCTTTGTTCTATTTAACAGTCTTGATTTACAGAAATCGTCAACTTGAAAGTATAGTAATGTGAAGAGTCCAGATTGGGGACAAATTCTGAGCAAACTTCTCTTGTTCTATTGCTGCTATCCTAACATTCCCACCTCAAAAAGTTAAAAACCGAAACAAAGCATTGTGGTGGTTGGTTGACATTTGCCTAGAAGATGAATGTCACAACTGATTTCCTTCTTTTTAGGCTTCAAAATATAATTACTGCTGGGAAAAGAAAATGCAATATCTGCGTTCAGGATGCATATAAAATATCTGTGAAGATATGCTAAATCTTAATTGCAGTTTGCTGGGTTTAGCAGCAATTCTAATGTCCGAGTAGTACATATTTCATTATTCTAAAGGATTTTTATTTTTCTATAATTTCAAATGTTATTGACGATTTGGGATAATATTTCAGGCAGCTTTATTCTTAACTGAAGGGGAAATGATTGGCCTCTGTAACCCAATCATTGTATTGCTTTTCAGCATGCAGTCAATCCAGAACTTGGGTCTAGCCATCATTTCCATTGCAGCTGGTCTGATACTAGATTCCCGAGGATACCTCTTCCTAGAAATATTCTTCAGTGCTTGTGTGTGTTGTAAGTATGATACCATCTCAAGGTGCAAAATGTCTTCAAAAAGGCAATTGAAATAAAAGCAGGTTTCAAAATAAACTGTGGTGGTGTTCCTGGTGAAAGCTGGGGCATGTCCATGGTTTGAGTAGTAAGGCAACTATTTTTCTCCTCCCAACTTTGTACTCCTCCTGTAAGATTCAAACATAGATTATCTATGGTACTGTACATGAACATTTATCATGTGTCTGTTTTGTTATACTGTAGTTGCATGTATTTGGAATCAAAGTACTCCTGGTTCTGCACACAATGGCCACCTTAGAAAGAAACTGCTTTGGTGTTAGACAAATGCCCTGTTTGAAAGTCTTTGGCTTGTAACAACCTGTGTAATAAGGCGGCTGTCATATGGCTTTTTATTTTTATCTTTTAGTGTCACTCATTGCTGTGGTCATGCTGTACTTTGTGAATTACCTTAGAGGTAAGCATCTTTGATTTTAACTCTCTGTACTTGTGAGCACTTACGTTTGAGTCAGCAGATGATTTTAACTTCAACCAATGTTAACATAGTGGCACATGCTTATAACTGACATTTTTAACAACAATATTTGTGGTTTTGACTCTACAATAAATCTCACTTTGTTGTCCCATCTTGCTCTCACATACAGATATTTCACAGTAACTATAAACATGTGTATCTACCATGTACCACCCAGTATGTGTCATTTGCAATAGTTTGTTTCTTTTGGAACTTTCACTTTGTTTTCCTTTTGTTTTAATACCGTTTTTCAATAACTCTGTTTATAACAAACACACATACACAAACATACTATATTTTATGCCATTGAAGTGGCTCTCTGAAGTGGTATGTAGTCTTAGCATGCCATAGTATTTTGTTAGTCAGAACCATAATACTCAATTTTGAAGACACACACTTTCACTTTTTAAGACACTAAAAAGTCAGTATTGAAACAACCAAGCATGCCTAATTTAGCCTGAAGCTTTTAGTTCTCTGAGTTGGTGTTTGTATTGTATTTGGAGCAGTGAATCTCCATGAACTTAATTATTTGTGAGATTGAATGCAAAACGGGTGACTCTCCTTATGTCCAGAGCTCTCAGAATCCCCGTAGCTTGAAAGGCCAGCTACAGAGCTACTGATTGGATTGGCTCATCTTAGAGTTGCCACAAGTTGGAAAAGCACATACTGGCCAGTATGACATAAATCTGGGGTTGCCATATGGGTAGAATTGTGCAGGTCACTTTCTTTACTTCTTCTAAGTTGATGCTTTAACCACTCTCAATGTAGTGAAATTTCCTTCCCCATTTTTTTTTTAAAAATCTATGCCTTTAAGTAATCTGTGCCCTTCACAAAGTTGTGGTGCAAGTTAGAAGTGACTTCTAAAGAATGTTCAAAGAATATGTTACAAACATGAATATCTCTTATACCATAGGAGGTGACCTTAACTTATCTGCAAAGAAAAGGGAAAAGTTGCAGAAACTAGCTGTGGATGAGTAAGTATGTAGCTGGAGTTCTGACCTGAGTCATCTGTGATGTATTACAAAATAAGGTGGAAATGGATAATGGGCATTGACATAACTATGCACTGTTTCCCCCCACACTGTCTGGTGACTTGGAAGAACATTAAACCTTTATGACATCTTGAAGATCACCTGAAGATAATGGGTTAGGAACATTTTTTTGATAAAGTGGAAGATCATGATAATATGACAGTTTACTATAAAGATAAATGTTGGTATTATACAATACAATTAGTTACACAAGGTTTACTGAAATCAATGGGACTGCAGTGAGATTTGAGCCTTGGTCTAACATGAGGAGGACAGCTGCTGTGAGTGGGCTTGTTTTTTTCCTCAGGGGACAATAGGTGGCCTCTTCCCCATATCTCTCATCCCTGAATTTTTAAAAATACATGTAATGTGTTCTGTAGCCAAAATTGTCCCTTTCTACCTCAGCCATGGCCCTCTAGACACCTTTGTTCTTTAACATGAAGTCAGTCATCTTTCCCTCCTTCCCTCTTCCCACTTTCTTCCCTCCTCCCCCCCTTCTCTTTTCCTCCTTCCTTCCTTCTTCCTTCCTTCTTCCTTCCTTCTTCCTTCCTTCTTCCTTCCTTCCTTCCTTCCTTTTCTTCCCTTTTGTCTTTCCTTCCTTCTCCCTTCCTTTTTTCCTTTCTCCTTTCCTCCTAAGGAATGTTTAGCTGGGAGAAGAAAAGGTAAAAAGGGAACATGAGAACCATGTTTCAAGATTTAAAATGTCCCATTGAGAGAGGGGGGCTGACTTTTTGTGGCCAGGACACAAGGGAGCAATGGTTTCAAATGGCAGGGAAAGAGACTCGACTGAAAAGATTAGGAAGAACTTCCTGAAAGTAAGAGCTATTGGAGAGTGGAATAGGCTGCTTGGGAGTGTGGTGGAGTCTCCTTCTCTAGAGGCTTTTCCACAGAGACTATATATCAGGAGTGCTTCGATTGTGCCTTCTTGCATGGCATAGGGTTGGACTGTATGGCCCTTGGGTGTCTCTTCCAGCTCTAGGATTCTAGGATTATATTTCAGGAGTAGGCAGTACTGGGTCTAACGGATACACTTTCTCTCCCATCCACCATCTCATCCTGACCATGGCTAACCCTTTTAGGATCCAAATGTTTCTTGTCTTTCCTTTACTTTCTGCCTCTGAAAGAGAAGGGGGGGGGAGGGAGGAAGGGGACTTGGGGAGAACCTCCTCCCTTTCGGCCCACACATCCTGCTCCGGCCTGCCATGCGCCCCCCAAGTTAGAAAGTTTGCCTATGCCTTGTTCGGTTAAAAAGGCTGTCTCACGAGTCAAAGAGAGATTATTTACAACTTTCTCTTCAGCTCCTTCAAGAAGTCATAGTGGTAACAATAACAAATCACTACAATATTTTTTGCAGAAAAGAAATCTGAATAGGAAATCTTCCAGAAGTGGGGAGGATTTGATCGGCAACGTGTCCTGTTGAAGAGCATTGTATATGCATCCCGAGGGCTAAACATCAAGCTCTTTGAAATAGTTGATTCAATTCATTGACTCTTTTAACGTCTTATTTGTATCAGTGATCAAAATGGCATCATTACCCAAGTACTAAGCTGGAGTCAGACAGGTAGTTTACCTACCTAAGAGACTACTCCTATTCAACGGAAGGTGGTTTCTTCAGCTTATTTGGAGCCAGTATTTTAATCTATGGGCAGCTCTTTGGATGACTTCATCTTTCTTCTGTGGAGTAATCATGGTTCAAATAATAAGGGTGTATTGTTACTCAGTAACTGCGTTTTCTGTTGCCTTACAAAATGCAGGTTAATGTTTCTCAGTTTGTTGTTGCAAATTACGGTTTCATAATAAAATCATATGAATTCCTGGATCATAAGAGTTTAAGTGAAATTGTTGTTATATGTGTTGCTAGAATGATTGGAAAAATTATGTGAAATCAAATGCCTGTCTCTGGGAGAACAAAATATTGGGTGTTTTTCTAGCAGCCTGCTAAGCAGTCTTGTGGATGGGGGAAGTTTATGTCCTCCCTTTTGTAATGAAACTGTTTAATTCTGTTTAAATGTACTTCTTTTGTTAAAGGCAGAGCTTACCCTTTGACTCACCATGTTGACACTTGCACTTTTGCACTGGAATTTTGATCTTTGTAAATAAATACTGGAGAAAAGAATGTCTGCCTATCAAATTTGTCTGATTTAACCTACCTTCCCAGTCATATTATTGATCTAGAAATAATACCTAGGAGATTTTCTAGCACATCTTGTGAATTCACATGTGCATTAATAGCATCCCCTTTCTCTTCACAGAGCAAAGAGACGGGAACAAATCAGACGTCAGAATGAAGATGACTTAGCCAGATTGCAGCCAAAGAATGACTTTAGTTTGAGGAATAGGTATCTCTCCAGATTAGGTGCTCAGGTACTGATAAGTAGTATATATAAGTATATATATATATATTTTAAAACTGCAATAATTATTGCTTTGTCAGGCTACTTTCGATTTCAGATTTGATCCCAGCATCATGATCATGTGGCACATGACACTTAATGTTATTGCACATGCATTGTGTGTTGAAGGTGCAGTAACAAGGGCTTCTGGTTGCAAGGGCCTCTTTTGACTGAGACCTTGACTGTATCTAGTTAAAACAGACAGTTTTGGCCCAAATCTCATCTGTTCAGAGCTGAGGGAAATGTGCCTATCCACCTACAGTATCATCTTGGCTGGCTTCTAGCTTTATTTGAGAATATTTGAATGTCATGGCTGCATCACATATGCAATTGATGGGTTTTCTTTGGGGATTCCATAAAAAACTTAACAGGTAGCCCTAAGGATATTTACAATACCAAATCTGCTTTTTCCTCGAAGTTTCCAGATCAGTAATTCTTTAGTGGGATCACACAGCACTTCCCAACAACTTAACATTTTCCAGGATTGGAATTAGGTTTTCAATTCTTTTTCTGTCTTTCAAGTTATGGCATTTAGGACAATCTATGTGACCTTCAGAGACCCCTAGAGGGAGAAAATACTGGTAGCCATATTTTGTTCACAGAGAAGCCATTGACATCCACAAGCATGTGGACAATTTCAACAAAAATGAGGAAATCATGAAAATCTGACTACCAGTATTAAAAAACCCCTCTAAAATCAGGAGAGTAAATAATGAACAACACATAAAAATAAGGGAATTCCGGACAGGAAACAATCAGGGTCAGTTAATCACCTCCCAACTCTTGTCTGTCTCCAACAGACATGAGTTCTTTCTCCCACCCTGGACATTCCACAGATATATAACTCCACTTGCCTAGTTTCCAACAAACCTCACAACCTCTGAGGATGCCTGCCATAGATGTCAGTGAAACGTCAGGAGAGAATGATCTCTGGAACATGGCCATACTGCCCGGAAATCTCACAGCAACCCAGATTGGGAAATGTGTGACTCTTCTGATGTTTTGGACTGTAGTTTCCATTAATGTTAGTCATCACAACCAGTTTGTTGTTGTTTTTTTTTTTTTTTGTCGTGTCAGGAGCGACTTGAGAAACCAAGTCGCTTCTGGTGCGAGAGAATTGGCCATCTGTAAGGACATTGCCCAGGGGACGCCCAGATGATTTGATGTTTTATCATCCTTGTGGGAGGTTTCTTTTATGTCCCTGCATGAGGAGCTGGAGCTGATAGAGGGAGCTCATCTGCCTCTCCCCGGATTCGAACCTGCGACCTGTTGGTCTTCAGTCCTGCCGGCACAAGGGTTTAACCCACTGCGTCACTGGGGGCTCCATCACAATCAGTGATGTGCAGGATGATGAGAGTTAAAATCCAGAAACATTGTGGAGCCAAATATGCCTCTTCCCTAGGCTACAGTCATGATTGGGAGTTGTGTGTAAACAGAATCCAAACATTTGAAAGATCTCATAGACTTGTTTTGGCTCATTATTCCATCCACGTTGTTGCTCTGTGCCATAGTTTTCAGTTGTCACATAGATCCTTTGTTATTTCATTTAGCAAATAACTTGGAAAAAACTTATTGATGAGACGGCCTGCTTTTTCTTACTTTTGCAGCTGCCTGACAACTATGCTTGTCACTTACCTGCACTGGCTCACAGAAGTGTGTTGAAATAGCAGAGTGGTGTCAAGACATGGGGATGCAATACATGAACCTTGTGCGCCACACACGACCACAGTCTTCCATACATCTGCATAGATAATGAAAATCCCAACAATATGTTCTACAAACAAACCAATAGCTGATATTGTGAAACTGCTGCCCTGTACCTTGTGCCAAAGCTGATAGGGTAGGAATGCTTTTTAAAAGTTGTCAGTTGTGTGCTGCTACTGATAGATTTCTGGTTTTGCTCAGGTTCTTTATCTGTTCATAATATAGGCCTGTTGAGCAGCTTGACTTTGAGAAAGAGTTAGATAGAACACCGTAATTCAGCCCTTTAAAACTGCCTCTTGTTACAAACTCAATAATTATATTCTTTCTATGGTGGACATCTTTGTTCATGCCTTAGATTTCTTTCTAATGAAGGGAAGCAATGAATTTAATTCACTAGACTAATGATTTCTGTGAAATTTTTGTGTTGCTTTTATCAGAAATGAATGAAACTTTTAAAGCATACTGTTACTTAAAAGTAGCTGTTTTCAAAATGGAGTTAATATCAAGTATTTCCATTGTTTATAGTAATGAAAAGCAGAAGATTGAGATTTCCTATGGAAATAGCTCAGTATGTATCTTTACTGTCAAGGCAATTGCATTGATTTTGTAGAAAAATGATAGAAATCATCCACTGCAGTTCATTGAAATGATAATATTTTTTTAAAAAAAGGATTGATTTTACTACCATAAGTGAAAGAGTGTTAAAATGCAGAGAAAAAAAAACAGACTTCAGAGCTGACCTTGGTTTTGGAACTCACCACGAAGATGTTATCACAGTTGCCTTGCTGTTGGATTCAAACTCACCTTTCCATAAATGGTGTGGAAGGGAAAGCCAACCGACAGAAAAGTCACTAAATGGAAATCAAAGGAGATTTTCACTGATATCCGTCTAGAGCAGTGGTTCTCAACCTGGGGTCCCCAGATGTTTTTGGCTTTCAACTCTCAGAAATCCTAACAGCTGGTGAACTGGCTGGGTTTTCCGGGAGTTGTACGCCAGCTTGAGAACCACTGCTCTAGACTAAGTATGGACAAACTTCAGTTCTCCAGGTGTTTTGGACTTCAACTCCCACAACTCCCTATTGGTTGTTGGGAATTGTGGGAGTTGAAGTCCAAAACACCTGGAGGTCCGAAGTGTGCGCATGCCTCCTCTAGAGTATCTACATTCTGTCCTCTAATTCTCTGCAACAGTTCTTCAGAAAGCACAGGATCGGCTGATTGAGGAAGAGGAACAGGCATAAACTGGGAAACCCAATTCCAGGCTATAATAGTACACTTTCAGTATTGTAATCTGTATTCTAATTAACCCTGATTCTTCTGGTAATTCTGTCATTGTTATTTTTAATTTTGATTGTACTTTGAGCCAACAATATGGTACAACTTCACTACTAAAAATTTCTTACATTTTTATTATCTGAAGTTGAAACTAAGCAATGTCCTGATCTTGTGATTTTTAAAGGCTCCTAATACAGAAGTTCTCTTGACTCATATAACAAAACGCTTTCAGGACTGTAATTGCTGAAAAGTTGATCTAGAAAGGCAATTGAGTACATTTTTGTTACTTGTAGCAATTTCATAAGATACAATTATATTTTAGGGGAGGAGGATGCCTACAATTTATGTTTTTATTCTTTCTAAATAAAGTCAATACGTTCAGTATTGTGTGATTCATTTTTATTAATAACTATCATTGTGTGACTGCCATTCTGCTCTCTCAGCCTGAGGAAGGCAGTGGCAAATCTCTGAACAAATTGTGTGATGATATTTTCAGGCTTAGCTCAGTGGGTTAAACCACTAAGCTGTGGGGAAGTAATAAAAGCGCATCGCAGGCATGGAATTCGATTGGGAGGACATCAACAGGACAACAAAGCTCCTTTGCATGGGAGATGGAGTATTGAGCACAGCCTCCAGATGCCAGAAATGGAAAAGATGGGGAAAGCCTTTACCCCGTTTAAGTAATGTCTGTCCTTGTTAATTATATAATGGCAATGCTATTTGTTTATTTGTTTACTTATTTACTTCATTTATATACCGCTTTTCTCAGCCCTCAGGCAACTCAAAGCGGTTAACAACAGAAAAATTCAATGCAAAAACATCACAAAACAAATATGGGACAGGTTTTTTTTTTTGTCGTGTCAGGAGTGACTCCTGGTGTGAGAGAATTGGCCGTCTGCAAGGACGTTGCCCAGGGGACGCCTGGATGATTTGATATTTTTATCCTTGTGGGAGGCTTCTCTCATGTCCCTGCATGAGGAGCTGGAGTTGATAGAGGGAGCTCATCCGTCTCTCCCCGGATTCGAACCTGCTACCTGTTGGTCTACAGTCCTGCCAGCACAGAGGTTTAACCGACAGTTAAAAACAGTAGCATCATAAACGATTAAACATCAATATAACAATCATTAGCGTCTCATCAGTAAAATCAGAATCCAATCTCATCATCCATTATTCCGTATTCCTATATTCAATTACACTGCTTAATCGAATGCTTGTTCGAACAGCCAGGTCTTCACTTTCCTCCGAAACGCCAACAGGGAGGGGGCCGATCTGATATCTGTAGGAAGGTCGTTCCACAGCCGAGGGGCCACCACTGAGAAGGCCCTGTCTCGTCCCCGCCAGGCGTGCCTGTGATGCAGGCGGGACTGAGAGCAGGGCCTCCCCAGATGATTTTAATGTTTGTTCATAGGAGGAGATGCGTTCATCCGCCCTGAATCCCCTTGGGGAGTTAGAGTGGGATATAAATAAAGTGTATCATTTGCCTTAGAATTGCCCTATGTCAGAAACAACTTGAAGACACACAACAACAACTCAGCATTGTGAGAAGCAGTTGGGGAAAGATTCTGTACAAGGTCATTTACTCAGCAGGAATATTATTTTTTCTGGTGTTTTTAAATCCTGATGCCCTTTTTGTTGCCCAACAAAACTAATTTGCCAACTTCCAGAAAAGCAGGGTGGGGACTCCATTGCAGAACATAAGAGTGATCTTGTTTTTCACGAAATAATTATTCAATATTTGATTCACAGAACTAGTATACCAGATGCTCGTACAAACAGGACATGTCAACCCTGAATGCATGTGATCCATTTTAGAAATTATCAATGTGATATAAGTGCAGAAATCTGAAAAAAAGAGACTGTTACTTAAATAAATTGAACTAATTGCCTTTTGAAATTGCGCATTTTACACTTGAAGCATAACCTTTTTGTGAGGGATACAGCTTGGGAACCAAAAAATGAAATGCTTAAAAGTTTACATTTTCGGGTGCAAAGGCAAAGCCTGGAGAGTTGCACTATGATAATATTCTTACATCTGTTTTGCATTGAGGCATTTGAATGGGTAAGATACAGCACACCTGTCGTTAATTGGGATGCTGTCACTTGGCTCAAACCAAAGCCCTCCCCATGGGCTTTTAAAGACCTATGGCTGGACTGGATGAGTCTTTCAACTGATCAGGCAAGGTATTTCTGTTGTTTTTTAGGTTACAGTTACAGTTTTTGGATTGGCATTTGGCCTAATTGTTTTAATGAAACCATTTGGATAAAACGCAGCCCCTCCAAGCACACTGCTGCATTTTGTGTGGTTAAAGTTTGAAAACATAGCTGTTGGGTATTCGGAATATTAAAAGAGGTTCCTGTTCAAAATCTAACAGGTTTGCATGTATAAATACCTTTTTAAAGGGGCAAATGGTGTTAAGAGGCTAATACAGTTTAACAAAGCATATTGCTCAAAATGTGTATTTTTACACTGTTCTACAGTGCATATTATAGTTTCTTGCAGCCAGTGTCCTTGACTCATAGATAACAAATTTAGCCAAAAGGGATGAATGCCTCCCTCAAATCTATATAAAGGGACGTTTTTCATATATTGTTTTGAATAAATCATTTACATATTCCACCCAATAGCCACTAAGACAGGCTAATATCCCCATATTGTAGACAACAATGGTGATGCCAAAGGTAAGACTGCCCAAGACAATCTTCTAGCCCCATGTATAAGACAAGTATTTGTATTATTCTACCAAGGATGTACCAGGGATGTGCTTATGTATTCCGATACGTCATTAAAACAGTTCTAGTTGTAATTCGTTCTTTACAAGTTGCAATCTTCAAAAGTCATGTCCTTTGAATTTAGCAATGCTGATGCCAATGACAATATTGTGTGGCATTTGGTTTGTTTGCTTCCTCTATCTAGCCACAGTCTTTATGACAGATTTGGGAATCTGTAGGTGTTTCTGAGCTACAATTACCCTTCATTTTTAGTCATGGCTAAGGCTGATGGGAGGTGCAGTTCTACAGCTTGTGGATGGGAACATCTTCTCAAGAATGGTTGAGTTGAGGTATCTGAATAAATTCAGTTAGAACTATTGCGGCATCCGCCTTTCTCTGTGAATGTGAATTTTATCACTTGTGTACAAGAAGATACAGACTAACATACTTCATGGAGATAGAGATGATACCTATGCTCTTTACTGTAGCTGTTGACCTTGATGATGCCCAACATAATTCTTGCCCAACTCTGCACTTCTGATTTCCATGCATTTGGCAGCAATCTGAAGAGGTGTGTGTTAGGCCTGGGCGATCAAGAAAAAAATTGGTTCTAAAATCGATTTGTAATTGGGGTGTTTTTTTGTTTCGATATTTAAAATAATTACAAAACTTTCCCCTAAAAAAGTTTCGGTATTTACGAAATTTCGTAAATATTAACGAATTGATTCGTTAAGATGGCGGACGCGGTTGTGCAACATGAAAATATTAGTTTTAAATAATAGTTTTAATAATAATAGTTTTTAATAATAGTTTAGACATGCCTAGCTCTTTCAGCTGCTCCTCATAGGGCTTAAATCTCATAGGGCTTAAATCATAGGGCTAATTTAGTCCGCCCCCTCTCTATCCCTCCCTCCCTCTCCCTCCCTCCCACCCGCGCGGTCGCCTCCGTCTCGCGCACGCAGCGCGCGCACAGCGAGAGATAGAGGCGGCACACATACCACTTTAGAGAGAGGGAGAGAGAAGAATCGGGTGGTTGCTCCGCTGCTGTTGCTGCGCCTCCTCCTGCGTTTCCTTTTCCCGGCGGGGGAGGCGATCGGGGGAGTCAGCGGCCTTGCCGCTGCTGCTGGGCGGAGGTCTTTCTCTTTCCCAGGGCGGCGGATGCCAGGGCCCCGCCGAGCGGGCACGCCGGACCACCCCTGCGCCGGGCCGGGCATGTGTGGGGTGTGCGCATGCCCAGGTGAGCCGGGAAAAGGGGGAAGAAGGGGGCGGGGGGAGCCAGGGGAGCGAGGGGAGGAAGCCAGGCCGGGAAGGGAGCTTGCTCGCTCAGTCTCTCTCTCTCGCCTGCCTTCCCTTCTCCTTGCCCCTGCTCGGGCCCCTTTGCAGCCAGGAGCTGAAATAATAACGAAACAATTACAAAACAATTACAAAATAGCTTTAAAAATTCGTTTTTTTAAAAAAATGCTCCAGACTGATTTGTTATCGCTTTGTAATTCAAAAATTAATGAATTTTTTAACGAATTAACGAATTAACGAAACGAATTGACCAGCCCTAGTGTGTGTATACCAGCTGTACTGTTGGCTACCTTTCAATATTAAGTTGGGACATGTGTGGAATCCCATTTCAGTCCAAGGTTTGATGGATTTCTCTTGGTTCCCATTTCCCTGAGGGCTCAATACTGCCCCCCCATGTTATTTAACATCTACATGAAGATGTTGGGAGAGATTATCTGGAGTTTTGGAGTTCCATGCTATCTGTGCGCAGATAACGTTCAACTCCATCACTCCTTTCCACCTGCTACTAAGGAGGCTGTCCAGATTCTGAACTGGTGCTTGGCAGCAGTGATGGTCTAGATGAGAGCAAACAAATTGAAATTGAACCCAGACAAGAAAGAGGTCACCTGGTCGGTTGCATGGCCAAACAGTGTATAGGGTTACAGCTTGTGCTGGATGGCGTTATACTCCTGAAGACACAGGTTTGCAGCTTGAGAGTTCTCCTGGATTCATAGCTGAGCCTGGAACCCCAGGTTTCGACAGTGGCCAGGGGAGCATTCACACAAAACTTGTGCACCAGTTGTGCTCATACCTTGGAAAGTTAGACTTGGCCATGGTAGTACATTCTCTGGTTATATCCTGTATAGACTACTGCAATGTGCTCTATGTGGGGTTGCCTTTGAAGACAGTTCTGAAGCTCCAATTAGTCCAATGGGTGCAGCCAGATTGCTCACTGGAGCAGTGTTCAGGGAACATACGATCCCCCTGTTACGTCAACTCCACTGGCTGTCCATCTGCTACTGAGTACAATTCAAAGTGCTGGCTTTAGCCTATAAATCCCTAAATGGTTCTAGCCCAGTTTACCTGTCTGAACACATCTCCTCCTATGAACCATCTCGGAGTTTGAGATAATCTGGGAAAGCCCTGCTCTTGGTCCCACCTTCCTCGTAGGCGCGATTGGTGGGGATGAGAGACAGGGCCTTCTCAGTGGTGGCCCCCTGGCTGTGGAATTCCCTCCCCAGGGGTATCAGATCAGCTGCCTCCCTCCTGACCTTCTGTAAGAAGGTAAACAGAGAACTTGAGAAATAAATAGATATGGAATTGATGTGTGTGGACTACTGGAATGGCCAGATTACGCTTGAGGATGATGTGATTAATTGCTAATATATTGTTTTAAGTGTTTT